GACGGACGGTCGGATGGGCAGACCATCTCCAAGAGACTGAAATGACTTCTTGTATGTCCAGTCCAGTCCAGGCCAGTCAAGTACAGTCCAGTCCAGTGAGTCACGTCCATGGTCAGTTTCAGCCCTGGTGTCCTTGAAGACCAAACTGGGTCAGAGAACTTCTTCTTCTCACTCTCCCTCCCTTGAGGAATGTCCTCAACAGCCAGTCCACTTCAGCACCGGACAGCTCCACCTGAGTCTGTGTGAGAGGACGTCAGTCCAACAGAGCAGATCTCTGTTCTCTCTGTTCTCTCTGTTCTCTCTGTTCTCTCTGTCGGCTGTGAGTCATGTGACCGGCCTCTGCCTGTATTTTGCGGCTGTCCCAGAATTCACTGCATCTTCAGCTCCACAGAGGAGAAGAAGCTAACATGTCGTTAGCTTCAGTTTTTTTTTTTAGTTTTTTTTTCCAGCACCGTTCCATGGGTCACTCGTCATCATTTAAAAAGAAAATAATCTTTCAAAAATTATTTTATTTTGAAAATTCACTGATTGTTACCGGTTTGTAGAACCAGCCCCCCCCCCCCCCCTCCCCCACTAGTCCTCCAGCTTTCATGTGTCACAGGAACCATTTTCAGTTGGTTCCTGGTTCCAGTCACCAAGAACTTTATTTTGAAAGTTGTTGCTGACGTTTCACAGTCACTGATTATGAAGAAAACCAAAGATCGCGTGTGTGCGTGAGTCGGACCGACAGCAGGGATTAACGTCACAGGTTCAAAGGTGAAGAAGTCAAAGTTCACTCACGACGTTAGGACGAAACCATCGCTGCTCTTCACCGCCCTCTGCTGTTAGGGTTCAACATGAAGGAAGTGCAGAGGAGGAGATGTCATCTCCTGGAATGTAGGTCAGGCAGCCTGAGAGGAGGAGAACGGTGTGTGTGTGTGTGTGTGTGTGTGTGTGTGTGTCCGTCACATAAATAAAGCATGTGTGTCTCTGTTGTAACATGTACATATTTATGTTTGTCCCGTGTCCTCGTCTGCCGTGTGTGTGTGTTTATATGATATTGGTGTGTATGAGAGAGAGAGAGAGAGAGAGAGCATGGACGTCTGTCATGGACTGGTTGTCTCATAGACAGTGTCCAATCGAACTCTACAGCACTCTGTGTGGCCAAACAGCAGTATTTTCACTGGGGTTCGTGTCGAGTGGCCCACATGTGAAGCCCAGTCTGAGTTGTGGGCCAAACAGGATTAACCAGAAATGAAACTGTGATGACTTTGACATTTGTCACTGGTGGCTGGAAGGTTGGAGGTTCGAATCCATGAGCTGCCAGGTTGTGGTGCGATGTGCATGGCAACCCCCCCGACTCACCAACTTCCCATCCCCCGCTTACTGTGTTGATTGGTCAAAGGCAACAGACAAATGTCACTGTGTTTCATACTTAGGGTTAGGGTTAGCTAGTTAGGGTTAGCTAGTTAGGGTTAGGGTTAGCTTGTTAGGGTTAGGGTTAGCTAGTTAGAGTTAGGGTTAGCTAGTTAGGGTTAGGGTTAGCTTGTTAGGGTTAGGGTTAGCTAGTTAGAGTTAGGGTTAGCTAGGTAGGGTTAGCTAGTTAGGGTTAGCTAGTTAGGTAGCTAATTGTAAAAACAAAAGATCGTGGTTCACTTTGAGTGTGATGTAGAATATTGACGATATCGTGAAGCAACTTATCGCAATACGATGAAGAGGAATCGAACATGTTGACGTGACGTCAGGACGCCACAGACACCACTGCGTGTCCACGATGAACCCTCCGGTCGTTGAATGTTATCGTTTTCTGTGTCTTGGTTCTGATGCCAGTCTGTTCAATAGTGGGGCAGGGCCCTCTAGGGGGCAGTGGAATATTGCAGGCTGGACATCAGTGACCGCTGCTGTGATGAACGATAACAAGCCTCCAGTCACTAGGGGGCAGCAACTCATACAGTGGTTTGTACAGATAAAAATATACATGTTCAATTAGGGGGCCGGGGCGTGAAAACATCTCTGTCCAGTAGGGGGAGCATGACAGAAAAAAAGAAACGGTCTGTTGTGAAAGTACCGTCGGAGCGACTCGGCGTTCCGACTGTTCAGAAAACGACTCCCTGCTGCTTCAAAGTGAAGTCTGCCTGTGGTCGAAACAACAGCAGAACATCACACACACACACACACACGCGCCACGCCCTCTGTGTGTGTGTGTGTGTACAGTGGTGATTTGTCCGTGGAGAACGACCATTTTTATTTAGACTGCTTTGAGACAGGTTGTATCTGACTGTGTGTGTGTGTGTGTGTGTGTACAGTGGTGATTTGTCCGTTGAGAACGACCATTTTTATTTAGACTGCTTTGAGACAGGTTGTATCTGTCTGTGTGTGTGTGTGTGTGTGTGTTATGGGCCATCTGGTGGGCTCCCTATGGGGCCTTCATTCTTTGTGATGGTTCCTATACACTATCGGCACTTCATCT